GCTATTCCTTTCTGTTTGTTAGTTTTCCTTCTAACAGACAGGCCTCTCAGCTGCAGGTCTGTTGGAGTTTGCTGGAGGTCCACTCCAGATGCTGTTTGCCTGGGTATCACAAGCGGAGGCTGCAGAACAACAAATATTGCTGCCTGATCCTTCCTCTGGAAGCTTTGTCCCAGAGGGGCACCCGCCTGTTTGAGGTGTCTGTTGGCCCTTACTGGAAGGTGTCTCCCAGTCAGGCTACACGGGGGTCAGGGACTCACTTGAGGAGGCAGTCTGTCCGTTATCGGAGCTTGAACACTGTGCTGAAAGAACCACTGCTCTCTTCAGAGCTGGCAGGCAGGGACTTTTAAGTCTGCAGAAGCTGTCTGCTGCCTTTTGTTCAGATATGCCCTGCCCCCAGAGGTGGAATCTAGAGAGGCAGTAGGCCTTGCTGAGCTGTGGTGGGCTCCGCCCAGTTCGAGCTTCCCTGCCGCTTTGTGTACACTGTGAACATAGAACCGCCTTCTCAAGCCTCAGCAATGGCAATGCCCCTCCCCCTGCCAAGGTCCCATGTTCCAGGTCGATTTCAGACTGCTGCACTAGCAGCGAGCAAGGCGCTGTGGGTGTGGCACCCACCAAGCCAGTCACAGGGGGGTTTCTCCTGGTCTGCCGGTTGCAGAGACCATGGGAAAAGTGCAGTATTTGGGCACCAGTGTACTGCTCCTCCAGGTACAGTCACTCACAGCTTCCCTTGGCTGGGAAAGGGAAATCCCCCGACCTCTTGTGTTTCCCGGTGAGGCGATGCACCACCCTGCTTTGGCTCTCCCTCCATGGGCTGCACCCACTCTCCAACCAGTCCCAATGAGATGAACCAGTTACCTCAGTTGGAAATGCAGAAATCACCCGTCTGCTGCGTCAATCTCGCTGGGAGCTGTAGACTGGGGCTGTTACTGTTCAGCCATCTTGGAAACACTCACTTTATCTTTTCAAAGAGTATTTTGTGTGACTGAATGCTCTGACCTTTTGATTTTCTGAGATATTAACAAAAGATTGTCCAGGCCCAGCCTCAACTTTTTCTCTAGAGCATATTTTCCTGACAGTGAATCTCTAAATTTTAGCATATTTTGCAATGTGAATGGGCTGAGAATTTCCCAAGTCATCAAGTCCTGGTTTCTTTTTGTTTAACAGTTCATTCTTCAATTTGTCTCTTTCCTCTTGCATTTTACATAAGCAGCAAGAAGACATCAGGCCATACCTTTAACACTTTTCCTGAAGATCTCCTCAGCTAAATTTCCAGTTTCATCATTTATAAGTTGTGTTTTCCGCCTAACTGTAGGACAGTTCTGCTAAACTTTCTGCCACTGTGTAACAAGGATCATCTTCTCTCAAGTTTTCCAATAACATGTTCGTCACTTCCTTCTGAGCCTTCACTAGCAATGCCTTTAACATCCATATTTCTACCAATAGTCTGTTTACAATGATTTGGGTATTTTCTAAGGTAATTTGTGTTTTCTCTGCCATACTTTTCACTTCTTTCTGAGCCCTCACTAGTGAAAGCATGTATTAACATCTATATTTCTACTACATTGAAGGCAATGTAGGTTTTTTCTGTCAAACTTCTCAAAATTGTTGCAGCCTCTGCCAATTACCAATTCTAAAGCCACTTCCATGTTTTTAGGTATTTGTTATAGTAGTACCCCACTTCCAGATACCATCTGCTATATTCTTTTTCATTATATCATATCTTTGTGAATCTGGATTTAATCCATTTACATTTAAAATAATTACTGATGAGGAGAGACTTACTTCTGTCATTTTGTTGTTTGTTTTCTGTGTCCGTTGTAGCTTTCTTTGCCCCTCATTTCCTACATTGCCATCTTTTGTGTTTAGGTGATTTTTTTTATATATAGTGAAACATTTAAATTCCTTTCTCATTTCCTTTTGTGTATATTCTATAGCTGTTTTCTTTGTGGTTATCATGGGAATTACATTTAATGTCTTTAAGTTATGACACTCTAATTTGGATTTATACCACCTTAACTTCAATTCCTTACAAAAGTTCTGCTCCTTTAACAGCTGCATCACCATTCCTTTCAGTTGTTGATATCACAGAATTACATCTTTGTACATTGTGTGTCCAAAATCATAAACAAATAATTTGTAATGCATTAGCCTTTTAAATTATGTAGAAAACAAAATGTGGAGTTACAAACCAAAGTTACAATAATACTGGCTTGCAGACTTGTAACTTTTATCTTTTCTTTTCTTTTTTTTTTTTTTGAGATGTAGTTTTGCTCTTGTTGCCTGGGCTGGAGTGCAGTGGTGCCATCTTGGCTCACTACAACCTCCCCTTCCTGGTTCACGCTATTCTCCTGCCTCAGCCTCCCACATAGCTGGGATTACAGGCATGAGCCACTGCACCTGGCCCATTTTTTTCTTTTAAATGTATTCTCTTACATTATATAGAAAATAAAAAGTGGAGTTACAAACTTTAAGGATTCCTTGAATGTAATATGTTGTTTCTCTCTTGGTGTTTTTAAGATTCTCTGTCTTTGACTTTCATGGTTTGATTACAATGTGTCTGGGTCTGAGTCTCTCCGAGTTCATCCTACTTGCAGTTAAGGTTGGATGTTTATATTCGTGTCTTTCATCAAATTTGGGAAGTTTTTGGCAATTATTTATTCAAATATTCTTTCTGTTCCTTTCTCTCTTCTCTTTCTGGGACTCTGCTAATGCATATGTTGGACCAGTTATGATGTCCTATGGGTCCCTTAGTTTTTGTTCACTTTTCTTCAATCTTTGTTCTTTTTGCTCTTAATACTTGATAATTTCCAATTTTTATCTTCAAGTTCACTGATTCTTTTTTCTGTCTGATCAGATCTGCCTTTGAATTCCTGCAGTGGATTTTTTATTTCAGTTTTTAGACTTTTCAGCTTCAGACTTTCTTTTGGATTTCTTTTTAGGTTTGTTACCTCTTTGTTGATTTTCTATTTTGCTTATGCATTGTTTTCTTGACTTTCTGCTCATCTTCATATAGTTTTTGAGTATCTTTAAGACCATTTTAAAATCTTTGTCGAGTTGATCTATCAGTTCTTTTTCAGGGGTGATTTCTTTTTTTTCCTTTGAATGGGCCACCCTGTCTTGTTTGTTTGTATGCCTTGTAACTTTTTGTTGCAAACTGAACATTTGAATCTAATAATGTGGTAACTCTGGAAATAAAATTCTCCTTTCCTATGGTTTGCTGTTTGTTGTTATTGTTGTTGTTGTTGTTATTGTTGTAGGCTTTCTCCGTGCCAAGGAATAACCTGAGAAGTAAGTTTAAGGTCTTTTCACTTCTTTTTTCAGCTTGCATTTTTTTCTGGGCATTCACAGTGGCTTTCTAATTTTCCCCATATGTGGAATTGCTTTTGAATGTCCTTGTCTTTATGTCTGGCTCACGAAAGGGGAAAATAGAGAAATAGAGGAGGAAAAAAAGATGCCAGGACTTTGAATCCTCTGGATGTCACTTCAACTGGAAGAGGAGAGGGTTGAAACAATGGGGGAGGTTCAACAACAATGGTCTCTTGCTTTTTGTTTTCACATCTGTGATCAAAAGCAGCGAGCAGTGATCAGGGGATAGATTTGCAATATTTGGAGGACAGTGTCCTTTTTGCCCACACTGGCTCCTACAAGTTGCTCTTAGAACACATGCAGGGTTGCTTCTATAGGGCTGGGAGTGGGGAATGGGTAGCTATTACTGAGCTAAGAACTGAAATTGACCAAAATTAACCACAATTTACCATCCAAGCTTTCCCCTGGAAGTTGCAAACTTTCCAATAGACTCCAGAGTTTCAAAATAGTTACATCATGCAGCTTTTGCTACTGCAGTTGTTGTATATGTAAGGAGACAGCTTCCACATGCTTCTTATTCTGCCATCTTCCCATAAGCCCATCTAATCTACTTCTTTTTAAAGTAGATTTTAAGTAGATTTTTAAGAGGAAATGAGGAATAGTTCTTCATCTGTGACTTGAGGGAAGGATACAGACATAGAGTAGGAACATTAATAGGTTGAAGGGGAGTAAGAGTTTATAGGGGAGGTCATATATGATTACGTTAATCTTTTCTGTGTAGTGAGAATCTAATTTAATATGAGTAAGGTTGGAGATAAGAGTTTCTCTTAACAAGAGAAGAGCTCTGCAAAAACCTTGGGGAATGATCCGGGGGGCCAAGATATTTAAAATAATTCTGAATTCTAAGTGTACAGTTTTCCAGTTGTGTATAGCTCTACATTAAGTTGTAATCTCAGGTTATGGAATTAAATAGGAATTAGCAATTCGAAAGTTGGAAGTTTTTAAAAGTAAAATTCAGGTTTTGATTTTTACAAATTACATTTTTTGTTGACCCTGAGTCTTCTGTTGTTCCTTTGGGGAGAAAAATAAAAGAGAAAGACCAAGGGCTGGAACTCAGATATAGCCTCCAGTAACAGCTGTGTAGTAGAATGTTGGAGTGCTTGTTCATGGGCACCATAATGCTACTATGATCAGCATTTGGATGAAGAAGGACTATATAGACATACTAGAGTTAATATTTGATTGATTTATAATAGATAGGGTACAGTATTTGATCCTCTGATTTTTACCTTGTTCTGAATTATCTACCTGTAGTCATCTGACAATCAAATAACTCCCCATCAACTTATTAATATTTAGCTCTATTCTGTCTCTGCAGTCATAGTCTCTAATGTCAGGTTACCCACACACTCCATGATTCAACAAGCCCTGAAAATTTGTAGAACTCTACTTTTTAGCACTTGTGACCATTTCACCTTTTCAACCAAAGTGACTGTTCAGTGTTATGACTTTGTCATCTTGACACATAGCTTGCAAAGGCAATGGATTCCCATCTTGGTTTCTTAAAGTGTAGATGTTCGAAAGTATGCCAGATACTCTAAATTATTGACGTCTGTTAAATGGGAACTTTTCAAAGATCAAAGAATTGTTCAACAAGTGCTAAACTTTGACATACTTCTTGCATTTTCTTTCAGGTTAACAATAAACGCCCTTGCCCAGAAGCTCAATTCTTACTGGAAGGAAAAAACATCTCAATATAATTTTGAGACCTCAGCTGTAGCCAGGCCAATACCGTAAGTAATAGATATAGAATATGAATGTATTAGGGATAATATCCATAGATCAAATGGAAGGAACAAGGGTAATGTGTCCGGAGTTGGTTTCTGCCAGTGGATTCGTGGTCTCACTCACTTCAAGAATAAAGCTGCAAACCTTCCTGGTGAGTGTTACAGCTCTTAAAGATGGCACGGACCCAAAGAGTGAGTGGTAGCAAGGTTTATTGTGAACAGCGAAAGGACAAAGCTGCCACAGCTTGTAAGGGGACCCGGGTGGGTTGCCGCTGCTTGCTGGGGTGGCCAGCTTTTATTCCTTTATTGTTCCCTCCCATGTTCTGTTTCTGTCCTATCAGAGTGCCCTTTTTTCAATCCTCCCCACGATTGGCTACTTTTAGAATCCTGCTGATTGGTGCGTTTTACAGAGCGCTGATTGGTACGTTTTACAATCCTCTTGTAAGACAGGAAAGTTCCCTAAGTCCCCACTTGACCCAGGAAGTCCAGCTGGCCTCACCTCTCAGTAAGATGGTGCTTTTCACATCAGGAAGTTTAATTGATTAAAAATAGGAAGTCACAGGTACTAATTGCTTCATTCTCTAAACCTCTTCATTCTGCTTTAACACATTTACGGTCTGGATCATAAATGTGAAGAGTTGAGTACTGTCAATTTAAAACTGGTAGTGTGATATAGTAGAAGATTATGGCTATTTAAATCAAACATTCCTGGGTTGAAAATCTGGATCTGCTTTTTAATAGTTGAATGAGCTTGGGTAAGTAAGTTACTTCACCTGTCTGAATATATTAACTTAGGTGACATACATTTTTAGCACAGTGACTGGCATATAGTAGGTGTTCAGACATGTTAGCAAACTTCCCTTTTTTTTTAAATTCCTAGTGAATATTGCTGGGACTGTACCAGTACATGAGAGTAGAAATAGAGAACCCAGTATGTTAAAGAAAAGGTAGAATTTGGGCCGGGCGCGGTGGCTCAAGCCTGTAATCCCAGCACTTTGGGAGGCCGAGACGGGTGGATCACGAGGTCAGGAGATCGAGACCATCCTGGCTAACACGGTGAAACCCCGTCTCTACTAAAAAAATACAAAAAAAAATTAGCCGGGCGAGGTGGCGGGCGCCTGTACTCCCAGCTACTTGGGAGGCTGAGGCAGGAGAATGGCGTGAACCCGGGAGGCGGGGCTTGCAGTGAGCTGAGATCCGGCCACTGCACTCCAGCCTGGGCAACAGAGCCAGACTCCGTCTCAAAAAAAAAAAAAAAAGAAAAGGTAGAATTTATTGACTCTAAGACAAGTCAGGTAAGGAGCATAATACAGAGGATCGAATGTGTAGCAACACATACACAGTTACACTACCATCAAGACAAACATTAGAGTGGTAGAAGTTCTTTTTGGAGTAGGTACCTGTTATTTTAATTATTAGGTAAATGTATGATATAAAATTTTATTTCAAATGCAACCTAATGGCTGTATTACCCTCTTCTGTTTTTTAATTTTATTTTAAAATTTTATTTATTTTTAAATTATACTTTAAGTTCTAGGGTACATGTGCACAATGTGCAGGTTCGTTACATATGTGTACATGTGCTGTGTTGGTGTGCTGCACCCGTTAATTCATCATTTACATTAGGTATATCTCCTAATGCTATCCCTCCCCTCTCCCCCCACTCCACAGCAGGCCCTGGTGTGATGTTCCCCTTCCTGTGTCCAAGTGTTCTCATTGTTCAATTCCTACCTATGAGTGAGAACATGCGGTATTTGGCTTTTTGTCCTTGTGATAGTTTGCTGAGAATGATGGTTTCCAGCTTCATCCATGTCCCTACAAAGGACATGAACTCATCCTTTTTTATGGCTGCATGGTATTCCATGGTGTATATGTGTCACATTTTCTTAATCCAGTCTATCATTGATGGACATTTGAGTTGGTTCCGAGTCTTTGCTATTGTGAATAGTGCCACAGTAAACATACGTGTGCATGTGTCTTTATAGCAGCATGATTTATAATCCTTTGGGTATATACCCAGTAATGGGATGGCTGGGTCAAATGGTATTTCTAGTTCTAGATCCTTGAGGAATTGTCACACTGTCTTCCACAATGGTTGAACTAGTTTACAGTCCCACCAACAGTGTAAAAGTGTTCCCATTTCTCCACATCCTCTCCAGCACCTGTTGTTTCCTGACTTTTTAATGATCGCCATTCTAACTGGTGTGAGATGGTATCTCATTGTGGTTTTGATTTGCATTTCTCTGATGGCCAGTGATGATGAGCATTTTTTCATGTGTCTGTTAGCTGCATAAATGTCTTCTTTTGCGAAGTGTCTGTTCATATCCTTTGCCCATTTTTTGATGGGGTTGTTTTTGTCTTGTAAATTTGTTTTAGTTCTTTGTAGATTCTGGATATTAGCCCTTTGTCAGATGAGTAGATTACAAAAATTTTCTCCCATTCTGTAGGTTGCCTGTTCACTCTGATGGTAGTTTCTTTTGCTGTGCAGAAGCTCTTTAGTTTAATTAGATCCCATTTGTCAATTTTGACTTTTGTTGCGATTGCTTTTGGTATTTTAGACATGAAATCCTTGCCCATGCCTATGTCCTGAATGGTATCGCCTAGGTTTTCTTCTAAGGTTTTTATGGTTTTAGGTCTAACATTTAAGTCTTTAATCCATCCTGAATTGATTTTTGTGTAAGGTGTAAGGAAGGGATCCAGTTTCAGCTTTCTACATAGGGCTAGCCAGTTTTCCCAGCACCATTTATTAAATAGGGAATCCTTTCTCCATTTCTTGTTTTTGTCAGGTTTGTCAAAGATCAGATGGTTGTCAGCTCATGGCCATCCTCCATAGTTTTCAAAGAAGTACAAACTAAGATGAGATGCCATTTTTTGTCTTTCAAATTAGCAGTGATTAATGCAGTGAAACCGATGTTAACATACTGCTAGAGAGTGTGTGTGCTGGAAGCAGAACTGTAATAATGGTAATTATTGAACACTTACTTATATGTCAGGCACTGTTCTAAGTTCTTTACATGCAGTGATTTATTTAATCATCACAACAACCCTATCTGTTAGATATTATTGTTACTTCTTTATAGATGCAGAGACTGATACACCAAGAACTTTAGTAACTTGCTTTAGGTGAGGCAAGCAGCAAGTGGTAGACCTAAGGTTTGAATATAGGTTTGAAATCAGGTCCCCCAAACCTAAGTTCTTAACTGCTGCTTTCTTCTGGAGGGATGCAATGAGGGGAATGTAGTACAGCCGCCTCAGCTACCTATTTCCTGTAAGCATGGGCTAAAAGCCTTTCCTATCTGCCTGGATTGAAGGATCTACCATGATCTGCATGGAACCTGAAACAGACGGTTGCTACCTCTAAGCGTGCCTATCCCCGAGAGAGTAATACTGGCACCCTGCAAGAGACTCTCCTGTGCATATGCATGTAGAACCAAAGCTAATATCAGCTTTCTTCTCCCCTCCTACTACTGCTGAAGATGCTTTTTACTGACTCTGGCTCTAAGACAGTGGCTGTCTAGAAATACATAGACACCAGAGGTCAGGCCTGAGCGTACAGCTTAGAGGTTGCAAGGCTGGAACAGCCTGGAGCTAGAAAATAGGAAGCTGTAGATCCAAAAATGTGCACAAACTTTCTTTGTTCAAACAGGGTTTTTAAAAAAAAGAGGGCATTGTATTTCAATGGTAGAATTATGAGTGCCTTTTATTTTCTGTATGTATTTCTCTATTTTCTAGCTTTTAATATTGAGCTTATATTACTTTTATATTTAGAAAAAAGCACATTTTAAAGCCGGGCACGGTGGCTCACACCTGTAATCCCAGCACTTTGGGAGGCCGAGGCAGGTGGATTGCTTAATCTCAGGAGTTCAAGACCAGCCTGGGCAACATGTTGAAACCCCATCTCTACCAAAAGTACAAACATTAGCTGGGTGTGGTGGCGCATGCCTGTAGTCCCACAGCTACCTGGGAGGCTGAGGTGGGAGGATTGCTTGAGCCCAGGAGGCAGAGGTTGTAGTGAACTGAAATTGTGCCACAGCACTCTAGCCTGGGAGACAGAGTGAGACCCTGTCTAAAAGGAAACAACAACAACAACAAGAAAAGTAAAAAGCACAATTTAAGATGTTAAGAAAATTATTGAACTAAGACGTAAAAGAACCGCACCAGTCTGTTGAAATATCTAGTATGAGAGCAGTGTAAATATAACATGCATAAATTTCATCCTGGGCTAAATTACATGTTAGTGAAATTGGCTGAGGTGTCCCTCTTCTTGCTTTGTGTGTCTTTTCTCCAGCCTTCTTTGTTCTCACTCTAGCCTGTCTTTTATACCTTAGGTACTGAGTACTTCTGTCATTATAAGGGCCACTTTCTTTCTCAGAGAAACAAATTCACTCTAAAGTGTAGGTAACTGAGGGGAATGGGAGTGGGTATGCATTTTAAGAGTTTTATCTTAGTTTAGCCCCATTGTTGTCTGGAGCCACCATTTCTAGTTATGAAATTTAATCAAATTTATATTACTTTTTAACATTAACTTTGGGAATATCAACCTTGTAAAATTTTGATTGAAGTATTATAAGCAAAGGGTTTTTCTTGAGAGGGAAACAAAAAGGAATAAGGAGTCTCTGTAGGGAAATGGGGGAGATGTTTTAATGGCAATGCTTCCATGACTCCCATAAATGCATTTTAAGCCTGTTACGTGATTGGACAAAAGCAAACAAAATGATTCTATGTGTTTTATTTCTTGGTAATATAGTAATAAACAGAATTTTTCCAAGTTAATAAATTTTAGAGTTAAAATTATCCTATTGTTTGCTTGGAACAAGTGCTACCAGGATAAAAATTATTTAAAAATTTTTGTTGCAATAGCTTTTGGGGTACAAGTGGTTTTTGGTTACGGGATAAATATTATTGATGTCCATAAAAGTAGCTCACCATGTTAATACTTGTTACTATTTTTCATATCCATATTTGCTATAGTTCTATCATTTTATCTGTGAAGTTAAAAATATATACATTTGGGCACTGAGATGATAACATTCCCAACACATTTCATATATGAAATTAGGTTCTTTCTCTTTTAGACTGCACCTTTCTAATTTAAGACAAAGCACAGAGCTAAGATATACACAGTCACCTTTCCATTTTCCTTCATTCAGGAGGGTTCCTGACCAGACATGGGTTCAGTGTGATGAGTGTCTTAAATGGAGGAAGCTTCCTGGCAAGATCGATCCATCCATGTTACCTGCAAGATGGTTTTGTTATTATAATTCCCATCCAAAGTACAGGTAAGGTTCCAGGACTCAATCTTATGCTCGAGGTAACTACTGATTTATCTCTATAGTCTAAAACATTTTTCATCTCAGGTTCACACCCTTCAGCCTGGCATTCAAGGCCCTGTTCTAACTGACCCCACCTTACCTATCTAGCCTTACATTTTGTGGTATCTTAACACAAACTTTGTACTTGAGCCAGACCTGTGGCTTCACTATTCCCTACACATGCCATGCTTACTCTCATGTCCGTGACTTTGATAGTGTCATTCCTCTTGCTTGCAATGACTTTCCGCATTCCATTTGTCTATCCTAATCACATCCATCTGGGGAGGAAATGTTTTGTGTGATGCTTTTCCTGTTGACCATAGTTTACAGTTATTTTACTCTGCTTTCCTCTGGTATTTGATTCTTGACGTTTGTTCACATATTGTTTTGTACTTTTTGGATGTTTTTCACATATGTATCTTTGAAGAGCTTTGGCTCTTCAAGAGGTTGTAAACTCTTTGAGACCAAGGACTTTACATTCCAGGTCAAGTCGATGATGTTCTTTATATGCTTCGTATTTGGAATCAGTGTTCTACAGTAGTACCTGTACCTGTTGTATATTCAGTGTTGTTTGTGTGTTTGGCTTCCTAATATACCATATGTTCCTTGCAACATCCAACATCTAAATAGCGTCTGGCATATCTGTGGGCATTAACTTTAATTTAAAAGTTTTTAAAAATTTGACTCAGTAGTCATATAGGTTCATAATAATAAGTCAGTGTGCTTCAATTCAGCTGTGACTTTCTTAAAATTCTTCTTGAAGGATAAATACTGATAGAAAGGTTCTAAAATGGGTATGCGTTTTAGGGGAAAATGTCTAAAATTGAAGAAGTTGAATGAACAAAGATTAGGTCTATAAATACAAACATTTCCTCATAGTCTCTAGATATGCATAAGTATCTTTCCATGAGAGTAAATGAGATTATGTAATTAGTATATGGAACTGAGTACTTAGAAGTCTCATTTGTGAATACTTTATCTTTTAGTACAGGAGACATAACCTTGCAGGCCACTTTGCCCTTTTATAAACTGGGTATAATATAGCTGCCAATTATTGTTAAATTTTGTTTGTTTCTAGGATTACTTTTGACCACTGAATGTATTTTCTAGTACTCCTTTCAGTTTTTACTCCTAAAATTCTCTTTCTCATGCTTTACATATAACAAGGTTTTAGAATTTGAATGGGATCTGAACTCTATAATGTTAGAGAGTTGTTAACCTGCATAGTTGTAAGGAAATTAAAAGGTAAAAGTGAAGGACCTAGTTTTTTTCCAAAGCATGATTTCTTCTCTATACTGCAGGAGATGCTCTGTTCCAGAGGAACACGAACTCATTGACGAAGACCTGTGCTTGAGCAAAGCTAAGAAACAGTTGAGTATACATGAGATGGTGTTCTCTATCATAGGGTAGAGTAGCCTGATACTTCCTTATAGGACAGGGGAGTTTTGAGAAGAGAGAATTTTTTTTGGTTCTTAAATAATTTCCCTCTTCACCTCTCGGCTCTCCCAGTTCTTTATTCCTTCTAATCATCTCTTGAATGTCTCAACTAGTGATTGTATTTAGTCTTTCTCCTCTCTTTCTCTCTCTCTCTCTCTCTCTGGTGGGGTACTTAAAATCTCACTTCGGTAACCTAGTTCAGAAAGGCACCCTCAGTTACTCAATGAGGCTCACAGTATTTGTTATTTGGAAGGAATATTATAACCTAAATCTACAATTGGCAGTCCATTTCAAACTGAGAAGTTTCATGAGTGAATTAAATAGCATTTTTGTCTTCTCCTAGAGAACAAACTGTTGAGGAGAAGAAGAAGATGCCTATGGAAAATGAGAACCACCAGGTGAGAGGCAATGTACACCCTTATCGTTCTCACACAACATTTTCCCCAGCAGAGAATATAAGTTGAAGGAAGCAGCAATCTTGAAAGCTGCATAGAAATAACAAACCATTTCTTTTGGTGGTCTTTTTTCATTGAATCTTTTGGTTTTGCTTTGCTCTGCTGTCACTGATGTTTAGATCACCAAAAATAGAAGAGTCAAATCGTTTATCTTCCAGATTTGGATTCAGTACTGAATCTGGACAGTATGAATGTCACATTCAATGTCACAGAATATTCAGGGTTGTGTTCCATCCTCATACAGGCTTCTCCTGTTAAGTGTCTGCTTTTCCTGTCTCTTTTCTTCTAGGATTCAGGGGTGATCCCTTCCTCCTTCCTCTTGGGAAGAAGGGGTGGTTCTTTGTACTCCTCCCCGATCCCTGCTTTCAGGCTGGCTGGCTTTATAAAAACTCTGCTGTTTTGAATTTTCAGGAGCACTGTCTCTCGGACATGGTTGCCCAGCTCCGGACGCTGAAGGGTGCAATAAGGTTGGCCGTCCTTTCAGGGACACTCCTTTCCTGACAGCCACCATAGCACCCATATATCTTCCCCTCCCAACCGTGCCTTTCTGCATGATTTCCCTCTTGACCCTCTTTCCCAGAGAGATCTGCTAGTCGCATGTTAGATTCACCTTCCACCCACTCAATCAGGGTAGGTCAGACTGGTGAGGATAGAGGCAATTTAATACTAACTCTTCTTCTGATATCCTGCCAAGACCCAGGCATATGAATAATCAGGTTTCATACCCTAATGCCTTGGTTTAATTGTCTGATGTAGAGATTGGGAGATTTCCTAGGACTGCCCTGTTCTCATTCAGTTTACCTCCCGTATATTTTCCCTCACCTTAATCATTCATAGTATTTTCATGAGCTGGCTCTCCCACAAGATCCAGATGCATGTCTGTGTGTGTGTGTATACTATGAATATATGTTAGTCTGTCGCATGTATTTCTCCCAAACTGGCACAGACACTTGCTGCAGTGCATTTTCCCACCATCCCTACCCTCATCACACATCTCAAAGGAGTGAAAACTCAGCCTTAAACTGGGTCACAAGAGAGAATTAGACAGTGATTGGGGGCCTGGGTTTATATTGGGGATGGGATAATTCTAGAAGCCAGTAAGTAAGTTGGGGGAGGTCTGTTTGGTGTCCAGCTGATAAGGTTGATAACTGAGTATGCCTGGGTTCAGTATTCTAGTGTACATTACTGTGCACTGTTTGCTTTGTGTAGGAAATGATTTCTTTTTATTTGGCCAAGCATTCTTTCCTAGCATCAAAAGGATTGACTCATCCTTTGACATTTGGTTTGAATTTGAGACTTTTACAAATCATTTCTGTCTTTTCTAGGTATTCAGTAATCCACCAAAGATCCTTACTATTCAAGAAATGGCTGGATTGAATAACAAGACAATTGGATATGAGGGAATTCATAGCCCTAGTGTGCTTCCATCTGGTGGAGAAGAAAGCAGATCACCTTCTCTTCAACTTAAGCCTCTGGATTCCAGTGTTTTTCAGTTTTCCAGGTGACTAAAAAGCATGATCTCTTGTCAATAGTAAGCTTTAGGGTCTGTTTTCCTGTAGAGTAAGTTGGTATGTTTTACCTTGTTTCTATTTTTTCTAAGGCCTAGCATGGAATTCAGAAGTAGAAACACAATTTTAAGTTGATAGAATTGTGTGTTGCATGTACCTCCAGTTTTTCAGTATTATAACTGCTGTATCAGGTCTGTAATTTTGAGGTGATCATTTGCTGATGCTCTTTTTATGTATCATGTATTCACATTATATTGGGAATTGTGCAAGTGAAATAATAGGCAAAATTTGAAAAGTGTAAAATACTACACAAATAAGGTAATGTTATTTCGATAAGCATTGTTCCTTTTCTTCAATGTATGGATATTGAAGTTCTCTGGGGCCTCATAGGCCTAGCACATGTTGGCCACATATAAAAATAACTATTATATATTTGTGCCATTAGGTAAGCTTTATCATTTGTTGTTTCCTATAACAAATTATTAATATAAGTTTAGCATTGGACTTTACTTGTTCACCTTCTAGCACCTCATCAGTGTTATTTTGTGTCTTCATAACAAGAAGGAGCATAACTGTTCTTTTTCTTACATATCAGGAGTATTTAAAGCATTGAAGGATGTGACTGCCCGTTTACTGGCATGGGACTGAACTTAGTACTCCTAATTATGACTCTTTGCTTTCTCCTCTCTATTCTGCTTCTCACTCTTATAGGGCCAAGCCATATAGGGCAGGGACAGGGTTGCTCTCTAATAGTAGAAATGTCTATGTTCATCAGTAATGTGACTATTATATAGTGGGATGTTAATTTTTTTTTTTTTTTTTTTTTGAGACGGAGTTTCACTCTTGTTGCCCAGGCTGGAGTGCAATGGCACAATATTGGCTCACCACAACCTCCCCCTCCCAGGTTCAAGCGATTCTCCTGCTTCAGCCTCCCGAGTAGCTAGGATTACAGGCATGCGCCACCATGCCTGGCTAATTTTGTATTTTTAGTAGAGACGGGGTTTCTCCATGTTGGTCAGGCTGGTCTTGAACTCCCGACCTCAGGTGATCCACCCACCTCAGCCTCCCAAAGTGCCAGGATTACAGGAGTGAGCCACCATGCCCAGTTGGGATGTGAACTTTTTAGTGACTATTTTCAGTTTGGATATCTTCTTAACATATTGTAGAATAGTCAGTGGAATACATAATAGGATAAAGTGACTCCTGGTTGGTGGTTTCTTTTTCTCTGTGTTTCTGAGTTCGAGACAAGCCTGGACAACACAGCAAAATCTCATCTCTTAAAAAAAAAAAAAAGCACAATAGAACAGTGCCTTGGAATATAGTAGGTACTCAATAAGTAATGGTTGAATCTGAGTCATATTTAAGAAGCAGTTTCTAAGATTGAATTTTGTAGCAATGGGATAAGAAATAGAATCCAACCTTAGTCTCAGGAGCTTGAGCCTAATTATACCGTTTCCATGCATACTTTTCCAACTCCCATTTTAGGTTGGGAGGGGTGTACTGTAAATACTAAGTGTTTTTGAAGCACATTGTTACCTTTTTACCCTGGGCTCCTGGAGATGCTCATATATCACCATTGCTGCTGGAGTGTCAGGTGTCTTTGCTTTTGAAGACTATCCTTTCCCTACTGTGACCACTTTTCCTTTTTTTCCAGTGTTTCTTTTGTAACTGTAGTGGTTTTTGGTAACCTCAAGGGGATTACAAATGCTAATTTATATACTTATTTTATGAATGCAGTACAATAGAACTTCCATTGGGTGGCATACTTCATCAGTCTCTGTTGGAATTTTTATATGAGTCCTTATAGATTGCTATATTGAGAGTGAGGTTTTGGCTGTAGAGGACAGGTAAAGTACATTGACCATTCATGTGTAATTTTTATTTATTGAGAATAAAATTATTTTAAGAGAAAGAGATACATAAGAGGTATGTGATAGTTGCTGTTGCTAATGTCAAATATGTTACATAAGATCAGTAAATGATGATTGTGTCATTTCAAGTTACCCTTTTTGAGGGAATCACATTGATTGGGCTGAGACTACCTTTTTATGGGAGAAAATGGAGTTAAGAGTCTAGTAAAATATATAGGATTTCTGATAAAACATTAAGGTTTAATCAAGAGTTACAAAGGTCTTCTGTTATTATCAGCATAGGAAGCTGATAAGGGTCCTTGGGTCATGTAGTTCAGCTTACTAACTCTAGATAAAATAAAGCCTACAGTATCCAAGAAAACACATTTAAGTTCTAGTGGGGTAGTTTAGCAGGAGCTCCACAGGTGTCACTGGAAACAGCTTTGTGAGTCCCACAAATCTAGCAAGGGAAGGAGAGGACCTGCAATAAAGAATAGGTTCCACCAGGCCGGGCGCGGTGGCTCAAGCCTGTAATCCCAGCACTTTGGGAGGTCGAGACGGGTGGATCACGAGGTCAGGAGATTGAGACCATTCTGGCTAACACGGTGAAACCCCGTCTTTACTAAAACAATACAAAAAACTAGCTGGGCGAGGTGGCGGACGCCTGTAGTCCCAGCTACTCGGGAGGCTGAGGCAGGAGAATGGCGTAAACCCGGGAGGCGGAGCTTGCAGTGAGCTGAGATCCGGCCACTGCACTCCAGCCTGGGTGACAGAGCGAGACTCCGTCTCAAAAAAAAAAAAAAAAAAAAAAAAAGAATAGGTTCCACCAGTATGTAAGCAGGTATAACCTTTTAGGGGAAGACAGCTTATTTCTGTTAAAGGAAATAATCCCTTTCTATTCGTTCATTCTACGTGTATAATCATGCCACATAATGACATCTTGTTCAATAACAAGATGTCACATACACAACAGTTATCCCATAAACTTTCAATACTGTATTTTTACTGTACCTTTTGTATATTTAGATATATTTGATATGCAAATACCATTTTGTTACATTGCCTATAGTATTCACTACAGTCACAGGTTTATAGCCTAGGAGCAATAGGCGATTGCCTAGGTGTGTAGTAGGCTATGCCATCTGGGTTTGTGTAAGGACTATGATGTTTGCACAATGAGGAAATTGTCTAACAATGGATTTCTCAGAGTGTATGCCCATCAGTAAGTAATGCACGACTGTATTTGAGTGCCTACTTTATGAAAGGCCCTGTTCTAGGGTAGTAATAAGGTCAAAGTTTGATATGTAAGGTATCCCCAATATTTACATATAAAATGCATAAGTTTTCTTTCTTTTTTTTTTTTTTGACAGTCTTGCTCTGTCGCCTGGGCTGGAGTGCAGTGGTACAATCTTGGCTCACTGCAACATCTGCCTCCTGGGTTCGAGCAATTCTCCTGCCTAAGCCTCCTGAGTAGCTGGGATTACAGGTGCGTGCCACCACGCCTGGCTAATTTTTGTATTTTTAGAAGAGACGGAATTTCACCATGTTGGTCAGGCCGGTCTCAAACTCCTGACCTTGTGATGTGCCCGCCTTGGCCTCCCAAAGTGCTGGGATTACAGGCATGAGCCACTGCGCCCGGCCAAATACATATAGTTCTCTTATGGGTGATACAAAATAAGATTTAAAGTGGCCGGGTGCAGTAGCTCACACCTCTTATACCAGCACTTGGGAGGCCAAGACAGGAGGGTTGCTTGAGCCTAGGAGTTTGAGACCAGCCTGGGCAACACAGTGAGATCTCTTCTCTACAAATAATAAAAAACATAGCTGGGTGTGGTGACGTGTGCCTGTGGTCCCAGCTACTCTGGAGGCTGAGGTGGGAGAATCACTTGAGCGTAGGCTGCAGTGAGCCAGCTGTGATTGTGCCATTGCACTCCAGTCTGGGCAACAGAGCAAGACCCTGTCTCAAAAAAAAAAAAAAAAAAAAAAAAAAAATCTAAAGTAACCGTAAGCATTTGAATGAAGGGAAGAATTAGTGACTGTAATTTATTTAGATATTTAGATTTGAGTAAGCTATATGTCAAAGGCTAATTAGTTCATATTTTTAAAGGTTAACAAGAAATTCTGAATTGCACTGTAATGGTGGAGGGAGAGAAGTAGAGACATTCTAATGTGTCTAAAGGAATACTTGAAATAACAAACAAGGGGTAGAAATAGAAGAACAATTTTGCAAATGAATAAGATTGATTCAGGGGCCAGTATTAACATTTAAAAATATGATCTGGGGAAACAACTTCCAAAATGGAGAAATGAGCATAGTGGACTCTCTCACCAACAAATAACTGTTTAACTTGTAAAAAGAATCAAATGGAAATTCTGAAGGTGCAAAGTATAATAACTGATATGAAAAAAAGGGACTAAACAGCACATTACAGTTGGAAGGATAAAGAATAAAAAAAAACTTGAAGATAGATCCGTTATAGATTATGAAATTTGAAGAACAGTGGAAAAGAAAAATGAACAGAGCTTCAGAGAAATGTGGAACGCCATGAAATGCACTAACATATGCATAATAGGAGTGCAAGAAGAATAGAAAATGAAGTAGAAAAAATATTTCAAGAAATCATGCCTAAAAACTTCCCAAAGTTGATGAAAAACATTAATGTATACATCTAAGAAGCTCAGCAAACTCAAAATAGGATAAATACAGAGATTCATAGCCAGACACATCATAGTGCAAATATTGAAAGCCAAAAGCAAAGAGAAAATGATTCATCATGTAGAAGGGAACCCCAAGAAGATTAAAGTTGATGACTTCTCGTGAGAAAAAAATGGGAACAAGAAGGCAGCGTGATGACATATTCAAAGTACTGAATGAAAGACTGTCAACCAAGTATCTTAAATACAATAAAATTATCTTTAGGAAATAAAGGTGAACTAAATACATTGCTAGATAAACAAAAGCCGAAGGAATTTGTTGCCAGCAGACCTGCCTTACAAGAAATACTAGAGAGAGTTTTTTAGGATGAAAGCAAGCAATATCAGACAGTAATCTGAATTCACATGAAAAAGCAAAGAATGCTTGTAAAAGTAATTGTGTAGTTAATTATAAAGCACAATACAATAGCATATTTCTTCCTCTTTCT